CCACTAAAGGAGTTTTAGTTATCTGTTGTGGGGCAGGGGCAATGGGATGCTTACCCAGTCCAGAGCAGGGGCAGAGGGGTGGTCCTGACCCAGCCTCACCAAAACTCCCTAAGTGGCCCTCCAGCCCAAATAATTGCCCGCTCCTGCTCTAAACTTGTGGTTTGTATGATAAAGTGAGCACCACCACCATCTTCTTTTCCCCTTTGTAAAGAAAACTAAGCTGTGATAAGTTCGCCGAAGAATGATTGTGAACAAGAGTTCAGAACTGTGGGTCCCAAACTGATGAAGACATACAAGTCCCAGAGGGCAGGCATTTCAGAAATACTGGTACCCCTCTCCTCAGACATTTCTTGTTGGGAACTCTATGTGGGTGCACGTTAGACATGCTGACTCTAGAAATCTTCCTGCTCAGCATGCTGTCTATTTTCAGAGCTGGCCTTAGGGAAAATGGCACACTGGGTGAACTTGTATTTTGGTGCCCCCCTGGCATGCCCCACTTCTGCAGTCAGTGGCATGACTGCTTGGCAGAGGCAGGTGGGCAGGGGTGTGGGGCACAGCCAGCAGGGAGGCATGGTGCTGCAGCTCACACTGCCCAGCCCAGCTCCTCCTGAGCAGCAGCTGAAAGTGGGGGGAAGGGGGTGCTGCTGTAAGCAGGGGCAGCTTACCTGTGCGTGTGCATATGGCACCCCACTGAATATGGCATATTGGGCAAATGCCCACTTCACCCATCCCTAAGGCTGGCTCTGCTATTTTGTATCCCCTTTGAAACACCTTGTTCTCTCCATGTATTGCATAGGGAGCAGAAGCATCTAACCTAGGCTTTTGGATTAAATTTCCAGCACTAGATATCTAAAAATCAGGCATCATAACACCTGTTTTTTAGGCTTATAAATACTTTATTGGATTGGGCCTGACAATTAAGACAATGGATCCCTTTGGTGAGGAAATACCAATGTTTTCTTCAACAACAAAGAGGAAACAACAATGGCTTCTTTTCATTGAGACTTTTAGGTGCTCTTTGAATGTGGTTAGGGCAAATTAACCAACTGAAAGACTCAGCTGAGTATTTTGGAACATAAAATGATTAATCCTGCAAGACCTAAAATAATTTTCTATGTATGTGCTGTTTTACTTGGTAGTTACACAGGGTATTTTTTCATAGGTCAGGCCAAGTATAATGTAAAATTGGTGCAGGAAAATGTAGAGTTGCTATATGAATAAGTTAAATTTGTACCAAAACTAAATGGAATTTGACATTATTTAAATTTTCAGCACTATAAAATAAATGAATAATGTGTACCTTCATAGCAGTGTGGTGCCTCAGTCACCCCTGGCAAGTGGCTTAAGAATGAAAAACTCAATTTTTGACCAAAGTTTCTATATGTTAGAATCTCTAGGTGCAATCAGCTTATTTATTCCAGTTGTTTGCATTTTAAATAGAGAAGATACAGTAAAATGTATTTTTTTCTCAACAGTTATTATAAAAGCTAATAATATCTGATTCCATATTTATTGTGTTTCTGTGGCTTCAAGTCAAAAGTGCTCAGTTACCTATAAAAAGATGTTTCTTTGTTTTTTTCCCCTTTAACAGACAGTCTTATAAGTTCAGCTTGGATTCTGACAATCAAGTTTCCTTTTTCCTGCTTATGTTTCATGGCTACTAATAAAGGTTCTGCAAGACAAGTTATCCCCTCTGTGACACCTGTGCAACTAGATTGTCTTCTGCTTAGCCTCTTAATTACAGCTGGGCAAGCTGTGTTTTGTTGATAATGGGGTTTTATTGATGTCAATGAGCATAATTTGAAGATAATAGGGATGCACAGGTGGGGCATAATCTGAAGTGCAATTGCACAGATAGAAATGACACCAGTTCTTGCCTTACTGAACCTTTATTACTGCTCGTGATGCAGAAAAGGGAAAGAACACATCCTGACTGAGAGTTTGAGTTTGCAAGGCTGGCAGTTCAGGGGAAAAACATTTAAATGGAGCACATTTGGTATGGAAATTGTTGATATGAAATACACCTGAAACCCCATGATGCCATCTGCACAGTCACTTTTCAGAACAGAATCATACTATAAACAGCTATCAGAAAAAAACTTAGGGGACAAGCATTATCCATAGCTAGAACAGGTATAATGAGGCACTGAACAAAATAATCTGTGCTTTCAGTGTCAAAGTGGATGAAGGAGATGAATGCATGTCTCTTGCTAGAACAGATTATCAACTCAGAGTGCACCTAGAGAGATTTAAATTGTTACAGTACCCATATTTCATAGTGCAGCTTGCATGAGTTCCTTCCTAAATGCGCAATTGTTTGTTATAGCGTGGGATTTTTTTTGTAGCTTTTAATTCTATTTGTTTAAGCATGACTAATTTATTTTTGCATACAATGGCTTTGTTTGTTGTGTTTAAGAAATTATATACTCATATGAGCTTGGGTATTGGTTGGGCACCATGCATTCAAAGGCAGAGAAATTTGACTCTCAAAGGCATGCGTAATTCCAGATCTTTTGCAGAATCCTCCAAACTCTGAGCTTACTTTTGGGTCCATAAGAACTAATTTAGGAGGAATTAACAGCAATACCTCCCTGCCAGCAGCATACATCTTCTTCTCTGAGGTATGTGGTCAGAGCCTTAACCCCCTGGCCTCCATTCCATGTCCCCTTTTATTTGAGTGCCCAGAAGTCACCCACCCTTAGTTGCACTACTGGGAATACCTACAAGAAAAGATAACGGCTTTCTGGGCCAGTTCCACTCCACTCCCCCAATTTTGTGATGGATTTGGGGGTAATTCAGAATTGTGAAGTAGAAGAAAACCTCATGCATCTTGACTTTTCTCCACTTGCAAGTTCTGAAAGCAGAGCTGGTACAGGTTTCAGAGGGTGATGAAGCTCTCTAGTTTAGTAGATTTGAATGCACTTTACAAAGTAGGCTGCATCATTATCCTCATTGTATAGTTATGAAGAATGAGCCACAGAGAGGAGTAGTGACTTACACAAGGTCACCCATCACACAGGCAGGTGTGAGAGCTAGGAATAGAGCCCAGGTCTCTAGCTCCAGTCCAGTAGAGTATGGGTGTCTCCCATTTCCACTCTGCACAGAGTATGTGTGCTGAATACTCTGCACTGGCTTCCAAATGATTCTTCAGAGGAAATGTAAGATGTTGACTTGAACTGTTAAATCTATAAATGATCTGGGGAGGAGTAGGGACAAAGGCCTCTATGGGGATGGGGATTTTTTAGGCTGTTCAATATATATTTTGGGAAAAGTTTGTGCTTTTAAAGTTGTGACATGTTCCTACACCACATGATATGGGCAGCATACAAACACAAGTAACCAGAAGTCTGCATTTTCTTATTAATGAAGTAATTGTTTAAAACTTTAATTCAGATCATTCAAAAGCTACTGTTATCACCTTTCTTGCAGACTGTCATATTGGAAACTTCCTGCTATTGCATTATCCAGGGTGACATTGATTCATTTGAGAAGACAGATTTGTTCAATAGAATAACACTTAAAATACTATATATATGTGAAGTATACAGCGAGTCATATTCACAGCTGGTGTAAATTGGCACAGCTGGCTTGAAATGAGTGTAACTAGAGCAACACACAAGCTGCAGATGTGGCCATTACATGCCATGCTGTATAAATATATGCAGGAGGCTCAAATCCTATTTGACCTGTGCAGCTGTATACAAACACTTAGTAAAGGAGGTTAACACGAGCCTTATTTTAAGCATATTCTATTGATTTCCAAGGTACTACTCATGTCCTTCAGGTTAGGCCTAGAATTAAGTATCCTGCTGAATCAGGAGCATAAAATAAGGAAAACATTAAAAATGATATAGTCTTAAGTACTGAAATGTACTGTATCCAATTGCTCCTTCTTTCACAAACACAATAAAAAGAGCTGAAAAGTACAACTTTCCTGTGGAGCCCACAGTGAAGGATTTGCAGTGTCTGCAAATTTGTCCAGAATTTGCATTGCAGTGTGGTACCTTTACTTTTCAGTTGCCACCCCTGTAACAGAAACCTGTGCTTTGTTGCTTGACCTCCTGTCCTTTCCCTCACAAATTGTTCTAAAAAAGGCCTACTGTTCAAAAGATTGTCAGGAACTGCAGTTTCAATTTTCAGCTTGCATCTGTAAGCCTTTTTGTTACATTTGCAGTCCTCCATTCTTACTTATGCTTTTTAGGTTGTGTAACAGATACCTAATCCCAATCATCACAACAAAACTCTCACAAAATCAGGTTTTCTTTTTTTAAACTGCCATTATGTTTAAATTATATTTGTATTGATTCATGTTTAAAATAGAACATAAAACATACTAGACAGAATTTACTGGGTGATTTACTGGGGATAAAATTCTGGCCCATGGCAATGGAGTGCTATACTTCTGGTGCATGAACACTGTTTAATTGCCCAACACTGGCAAGCACATATGGATAACTGGAAATAAGCATGAAAAAATATAATAGCAACAGCATAGATGCATATATGGCAGAAATAAATATATTGGACCAAATCTTGGGGCCCTAGTCATTTTACAGGTGATTATGCAGTTAAGCAATAGGTCTGAAAAAGATTACCAGATATTTTTTTTTGTGCATGCAATTTAATCAATATCATTTATTTCCTTTTCTCTCTCCTTAAATTCATCAGTAGCTGCCTGAATAGAGGTTCCTATTTCACAATAGAGTTGTTATGCTTGAACAGTTATAGCATTTTAAATTCACAGCCTGCCTTATTCCAGAGTAGCTTCTCCATGTAGTCACGTTTTCATGGTACTGCTGCCTGTATGATGATTCAGGTGCAGAACAGCCCAACATTCTTCATATTTTGAAAGATCTTCTGCTTTTGGATGGTAACTTACTTTTTACCACAGCCAAAGACCAGAAGTAAGTTTAAGTCATGGGGTGTTGATTGTAGCTGTGTTGGTCTAAGGCCATAGGTAATCAAGGTTCTTTGGGTGGATGTGATATATTTTATTGGACCAACTAAATAGTTGGAAAAAATGTTCTTTGCAAGCTTTTGGGCACAAACACCTTTCCTCAGGCATAGGGAGACTGCTGGTGTTGTGTGTTCTCCAAAGACAAGGTCTAAGTTAATCAGTCTTTGGCATCTGGCTATCTCTTTACCTTGACACATTGGTTGTTTAAAGCTTAGAGAACACACAACACCAACAGAGTCTCCCTATGCCTGAAGAAGGGGTGTTTGTGCCCAAAAGGTTGCAAAGAATATTTTTCCAACTATTTAGCTGATCTAATAAAAGATATCACATCTACCCAGAGAACCTTGCAAGTCTAAGTCATGATATTATAACTGCCAGTACTGGGAGGAATTACTAATATACAGTTAGAAAGCTAAAGTCCCCAACTTTTCTGTTTTGTAGAGTGGTTTGTTGTGGCCCTGATGATACACTGACTCTGAAAATCACACCACTCTCACATAGGCAGTTTTTGCTCACTTGGAAGAGCATTCATTCTAGAAACATGCACAGGACAAAGCCTCAAACAACTAATGTGTCAAGATAAGGAGATAGCAGGATGTCAGTAGGTATATGGACGCTCAGTATACATGCACTCTGTATGGGTGATAGAGAGAAACAGAACAACTACCTGTATGCAGGTGACAAAAAAACAACATTTATAGAGCTAGGTAAGTGTCATTTAGGCATGTACTGGACAACAGATTTTCCACTTCAAGATTCTTAAGTTTGGAAAAGAAATGACTGGGGAAGGGATATGAGAAAGAGTCTATGAAATCATGAACAGAGTGATAAAATGAATAGGTAACTATTACCAGTCTTTATTGTATTTCATGAAATAAGAATTAGGGAGCACGTAATGGAATTAGCAAGCAGCAGGTTCAAACAAATAGAAGGATGTACATGTGGAACTCATTGTTACAAGACATGAGGGAAGACAATAGTATAACTTCCCACAGCTCAATAAACATCAAATGGGACAGCCTTGTTGTCGCTGCAAAAGATGCTTAGCTTGTCAACACATCTCCACAATCAACACCCCCACAATGTACCCACCAGAATCCATGGATCCTACATATGCCTTTCCTAAAATGTGATTTATCTGATCCAGTGCAACAGATGCCCTCAAGGAAACTATTTTGGTTGAACTAAACAGCAACTACACACAAAAATAAACTCTCTTAGAAAAAATATAAAGGACAGAGACAGAGTTGCTGGTTTTAGCTGTGTTGGTCTAAGGACATAGGCAGGCAAAGTTCTTAGGATAGATGTGATATCTTTCATTACACCAACTAAATTGTTTGAAAAATGTTTTTTGCAAGCTTTCAGGCACAAACACCCTTCTTCATGCATAGGGAGACTGTGCTGGTGTTATCAGATGCACACGTATGTCAGCAGGAGCATATTTTTCATAGAACAGCCACTCCCTTTCTGCCCTTAACTATCCTCATTCTCAAGGGAAGTCTACCAAACACCTTTAAAAGGTGAGTTTGGGAACAAAAAATGATAAAGTGCCTGGAGTCTAGAAACCAAGGACTGAACACCAATATTGATTATATGACACACTGTAATCTGATTCCTGAAATTCTTCATACACATTACAGGTGATAATGACCCCCCTCCTTTTTGATAGGTCTTGATCTAGTAATCAAGCTTCTTTGCTTTTCATTCCCTGGGAATGTCTCCCCTCTCCAATTTCATAGCTCTACCCACTGTTCTTAACAATCATTGTGCTTGCTCCTGAGGCCTGATGAACACTTTGCATTCAAAAGCTTATCTAACTTTATCCCAACCATGCAGTTGGTCCAATAAAATATATCACCCCCCAAACTCCTTGCATCTTGTTTAATTTTCAAGGCCATTTTCCCTACTGACATTCAAGGGATGGCAGGAGTTTCACTATTAAATATGGAAGTGAACATTGCTATAATTTTCTACATGTCCCCCCCACAGTTACAGCAAATTTGTGTCATTTCTCAATTCAAAGATTTATGTGAATAGCCACATTTTAAGCTAAAGGCTACAGCTCCCTGCTAAACAAATTGTTCCTGTTGCTGACAATAGTAGCTGCTTGTTAATGCATGTAAGAATAAAATTGGTATTAAGATTACAAGATTTATAGGCCTGAGAAGATGCCTTTTTCATCTACTAGAACATGTATGTGTATCAGAACACCTCCATTCATTCACAAGCCTGCAATAAGATCAGTCAGCATGATCAGGCTACACTTAACCACAAGAAATGCAGGTTAAAAAACTTTCAACTGTTTTTCATCAGAAAAAGCTGTTTCAAGTAAACTTAAGATTGTCATGAAACTGCATCAATTTCAAAGAGAACTTCCCCAGGGAAAATTTTTGAAGACGTTCATTGTTTCCCTCTTTGGAAAGCTTTCATTTCAGAGCATTTTGAAAATTAAGTTTGTAATATTTGTCTTAAATTTTGTTTCCTTTCTCGTTCCCTTATTTATTATTTTTACATTATTTCAGGACCTATCAGTAGAAGTAATAGTACGGACTATTGTATTAAGGCTGAACGTCACAATAATATAATAGTCAAATTATTCGGGGCAGAGATGGTGTGGGTGCTGCAGTGTATGTTTGGCAGCCCAGAGGTTGCAAGTCTGAGGCCAAGTGCTTTTGGCTTGGCTCTTTCAGGTTCAAATGAATCTGAGTTCTGCTAAATACCTTGTCACAAAGGCACAAGACAGGAAAGAAAAGTCAAATTATCTATTTCTATTTTAATTGGTGTTTTAAAATCATTAAGGGCTGATAGTACTGACTGAAATATCTTGTTTTGCAGGTCAAGGTTTCTCTTATTTGTGGTGTTATGAAAAAGTCTGTCACTTGGATAAGTTCTCATTTCCTCCAACTCAAAATGAAAATAAATGTCAAAATGTTGAAGTTTCCCACAAAACAGAAATTCTGAGCTTTAAGTCACTGCAGTTACAAATTCCAACCAAGAATACTGTATTATTTCCATCTAGTGGAGAGGGGACACATGAACTAGGCATACTAAAGAGAATATAGCGAAGGCCAGTCATTTTCTCATATAAGTCTCTGTAATTAGAGTTGACACCTTTTGGAAAAGAAATATGTCTCCTGGATAGAAGTAATTCTTGTATTCAAAAGGAAAGAAAGAGTTACCAAAATAAGACATCTGTCCATTTCATCTTGTTGGCAAGTGCTCCCAGAAATGATTGATAGCTCATGTTCAGCATTAACATTAGGATCTGCCCGTGCTCTAAATTCGTCTACAGTCCATACATCCAGATTAAATTTTCAGGACCATTTCTGCAGTCAGTGAAGTAATATGAGGCTCAGTGCACTGACAGGAATAGCAAAATCACTTCTCGAAACTAAATTTGCTTAACTAAATTAAATGTATTGCACCACTAAGGAGACCAAGTTGACATCCACGGCAAAATAGAAAGAGGTAAAAAAATAATCTAATCTTGGATGTCTTGAGGAATGACAGGATTTAAAGAAACAGAACAGAGCAGAAAGCCTTTGCAATATTCTGTGCAATGACTTTGTACAATCCCTGGCTATAACATGCTCTGGATTTCCTTTTGCGAGGGGAGTGGGTAGGGATAACACTGAGAAGGATCAGTACTTGATGGAAATAGAAAACAGCTTTTAAATGTTTAACTGTGCAGGAGAAGGGAGAAAGTGCACTTCAGTTTTTCTTGTCTAATAAGCCTGAGAAACACAGAATGACTGAAAAACACATGGGAGAAGTGTTCAATAATTACATATGACTACGGATTCCTTAGTAATTATTTTTAAGGGTGAGATTCTTCTGTTACATGGGTTAGAATATAGATTAAATCCATTAAAAATGATTTGTGTTACTTCAGTCTTGTACCAGTATAATTTTGCCTCCAAAATACCAGTGACCCCAGTATGTCACTATATTGTTTGATCTCATAATAATGCTATAATTTACCTAAGAGAAAAAATGTTCCTCATGTCTATCTTGACCTGGTTTGAACCTCCAGGAATTCCTAGGGGAGAGTAGTTCTAAAAGGTCATCACACATTATCTCTGCAGCTTTTCTCTGATTTGGGAGGGGTCTGTCTCTCCCCATGGCAAGAGAAAAGGTTTCTGTCCTCTGTAGATCCCAAAGCCCCAGCAGTTCTGATGAGTAAGATCAGCATCCAGTTTCGGGCCCCCCCACTACAGAAAGGTTGTGGACAAATTGGAGAGAGTCCAGTGGAGGGCAACGAAAATGGTTAGGAGAGTTGGGGAACATGAGATCTAAGGAGAGTCTGAGGGAACTGGGCTTATTTAGTCTGGAGAAGAGAAGAGAGGGAGGACTCAATAGCAGCCTTTAAGTACCCAAAGGGAGGCTCCAAAGGCGACGGAGCTGGACTGTTCTCAGTGGTGGCAGATGACAGAACAAGGAACAATGGTCTCAAGTTGTAGCAAGGGAAATTTAGGTTAGATATTAGGAAATTTTCGCAGTAGAAGGTTACCCAAGGAGGTTGTGGAATCCCATCCTTAAAGGGTTTTAAGGCCCAGGTAGACAGAGCCCTGGCTGGGATGATGTAGTTGGAGATGGTCCTGCTGTGAGCAAGGGTTGAACTCGGTGACCTCCTGTGGTCCCTTTCAACCCTAATCTTCCATGATTCTGTTTGTGCCCTGGGGCTCGTTATTTTTCCTTACCTATTCCTCGGCAGTCTAGCAGCTGAAACTATGCACTTGCAATTACTGAAGCCCAAAAATCCCTTATGGGAGGGTTCCCAGCCACAGGAAGCCAAAGGAAAGTCATGCAGCCTCTAGCAGTATTAACAACACCCCATAACCTTCTGGGATCTGTTGGCAGAGTCGAATGATGCACATTTACCTTTTCTGAAGCTCTCTCTTACTCCCAGCCTGTTTTCTGCTTTGTCTCAAATCAGCTACTTTCCTTGTAACCTGAACTGCAGGGTAAAAGGGAAGAAACCTCAGTACAAATTTGTAATGTTTTCTGACTGTCAGCAGAGGCTTTCCAGGAAGGTCTCCTCCAGGTTATTAACAATAGGGTAGTCAGCAATTTTAGACCTGGATGAAGGTGGAAAAACAACACCATTCACAACTAATTTATTTGGAAAAATACTGTAAAATTTGTATCTTCACCCATTCCGATTAAATTATGGGGGAATATGGAAATATTTAAATACTATCAAAGATATAAAATAATGTATAACATAATGTTGGCAGTTTTAATAAAGTTTGACACACAGTTGTGGTCATTACAAGGGCATTTATTACAATAAAGCCAATGTGTATTTGTAGTTGCTGGTGGCCATAAAATTGCCAAGAAGTTTGGCCTTTCCAGTAGGACACAAATGCAGAACTTATTACAAGTCAGCACCATGCCTCCTGTATTAGAACAATACAGGGGAAAAATGTACATGTGTATCTTTAAATTAAGGGAATTACTATAATGGGGCATGTGGTTCTTTAAAGTACAGATTGCAAAGCACTGCACTGTATCATTTTAATCCCCATAAGTAAATGCTCCCTTCTAGCTTCCTCTCCAATTTTAGTTAGTCTGCTGTTTGCTGTTCTTTCATATAAAGAGAACAAATACAAGGACAAAATGTGGAGAAGCAATTTTATTTTGCACACACTTTGTCAGGCTCCATCCCCAGAATTGATACAGTTGGGGAGAAGGAGTAAGGAGATGTCATATGACTAAATCACATGCTTTAACGTCTCAACTTCAGCAAAACTCAGCACGACTTCAGGCAAACCCAGAAAGTCATATTGAAATGGTGAAGTAACTGAGAACATCCAGAGCAAAGAAGACCAGCATTAGTCAGTCAGGGGTACATGCCTAGGAGCAATCCAAACCTGCAAAAGAAAGAAAATTGAAAAGTTACATTTTATTATGCATGTACAAAAGAGATCTTCTTTTCCTGAAGGTGGCCAAACTTGTAGCAGTTACTTATAAGTACCACCCCCCCTCCGCCCCAGAAGTGGATACTTTTTAAAGCACTGCTTTTTAAAGTAATTTCTCAGGATGATACCTAAAGCTTATTAGAGTTTTGTCACCTGGAGATTTGTGAAGTTTAGATTACTGCTAACCTTTTGCTCAGGATATTTTACCACCTCAGGTTTTTCTGTACTGAACTACAGATGATTCCCTTCTTAGCTGATAAAAAAGCTTCTTCAGAATAGATAAAATCTCACCCAGTTTTGACAGTGATGTGTCAGTATTTACCTTCAGAAATCATTTTTGCACAAATGACAGATTTACAATACTTGTTACCACAAACATCTATGTTATTTGTTATCACTATTCCAGAAAAATGTCCTCTGCACTAAACATGTAGTTGCTGAGTAAGAAAAAAAAACATTTACTAATGGCCTTTTTCCATTAAGCAAATGGTAACTAAGTATTTAGCTCTCCCCTTCCCCCCCATCAGATTAATGCATTTGATACATAGTAATTATGATAAACTAGTATCTGGACTTTAACAATTTGCAATCAGTAAATAGCTTTCTTGCCATTTTATTTTGTTTAGCCAACTCAGTTTAATACAGAAGACCAAGCTGCAATTCTTAAGTATTTACAATAAATAACTCAACAAAATTAACAAGAAAATGCCCTCCTTGCCACTAGCCTTCTCAGACAATGTACAGACATTCAGTTTCCCCTGAGAGATTTGCTGCTGTCTGAGGAGAAACCTTGAATGTACAGATGTTCAGAATTATTTTTTTCCCAGAGCAAAAATGGCTGCTCAAGGAGAAAACTAACCTGGGAAAAATCAGAGTTAAATTATTCCCAGGAGAATTTCTCCTTGGAAAGCCAATATCTATATAAGTTATCTTCTGAAAGAAGCCACAACACAGTCATCCAGCATCCCAGGGTGTTTGTTTCCCATCCTTCTTCTCCCCACCCCCCTGCCTCAATCCAGAGACTGTTTGTCATTCAGGCTGGACTCTCCTATCCTAGCCTAGCAGAGATCAGAGCACACCTCCTTCAGATTCCCACATTATGCTGCAAAGTAACACAAGCTGACTCTGAGCAGTCCAGGTCAGCTAACTGGGGGGGCTGCCCTGTGCATTGCTGCCACCTGTCTCTGGGCAGACTGAGAGAGCTTGGAGAGTACAGTGAGGCGTGTACACAGAGGCTCCCTGGCTGCACAACATCAGTACTGCAAGCTCTCTGCTCTTCAGGGGCTCAAGATTTTAATGTCTGTTCAGGCATCTGTGGGTAAGTTTTCCTACCAGAAAAACAAATCCAGAAAATTTTCCCAGGTCATTTGAACATGCGCACACATACACAATATTGTTCCTTTACCATTGTTTTGTATTAATCTGAAAAAAAATGGAAGACAAGATTGATTTTTAGAGGTAGTAAAAATAGACTTCTGGTCTTTGGCAAATTATTTCAGCAGAAAAGTTTTAAGTAATCTTAAAACTATATTGAAATACTTTGTTACAAAACTGAACCACTATTCAACTTTGTAAAAACTTCTTGTAAGGTTGTCCAGATGGTACAGAAGCATTTGACTTCAGAAGCTTACTGAATGAGCAAAAATAAATAAATAAATAATGGCTTTCCTACTGCGAAGGACTCTTCATGCATCAAATCTTGGGCCTATAAAGAGTAGCTTTGACTCCCAAAAGGGCATGCTTTTGTGTAATTCTTTACATTGGTTATTCTGAACTTCTATTAATGCTGATATCAGTACTCACAGTTGTGTCTCCAAGCACGTCCATGCTGGCTTTCATTCCTTGCTTCTACTCTGGTCTCATTCACACACCTGTTGATTCTTGAAGGATGTAGATCCTGCATACTAAGATTCTGCTGCTTATTCATACTTCAGGCTCTATTCTTTTACCTTAATTTTGAACCTGTAATGCTTTCCAAAAAACCCCCAAACAAACTAGAAAGCTTGAAAGCAGCAAGTTTTCTTCAGCATTCCTCTTAAGTTTTCCTCCTTAAAATACGGATTTTGTTTTTGCTAGAATTAAGAGACACTACAAAACCAATTAATTGCATACAGGCTTCAAACCTCCTTCTGTTTCCTGCTTCGGTTTATCTCTCACCACACTTTCTACCTTTGATAACACTCTCATCTGCTTTTTCTTATGGCCACTCAAACACCCTAAAAAGTTTTATGGTGCTCTATTATGTTATTACATTTTATACCATTTTCTTCTAGAACTACTCACTGCAAATTTCTTCAGTGAATCTATTAGAATTAGTAGAGCATAGAAACATTGAGGAAATGTCCTGCATCATCAAGTCCAGTTTCTTGCTATTTCAGAGAAATGTCACATAATTGCTTTAACAACTAATCGAGCTCTGTAATCAAGATTAGTTAGGTTTAATACTAAGGCTGTCAATCGTAGTTAACACGTGCTATTAATGCATTAATTGGTTCTTGCATTAATTTTTTTAATGTGTTACGTGGTTTTGGAGCCTGCACTCAGGCTCTGCTCTGTCACCTCCAGGCTGCCCATCAGAGCAGCGGTGGCAGCGCAGAAGGCCACAGGGCAGCCCGGGCATGGGCATTGGGTGGTTGCAGTGGGGGGGGGAGGGGGCACAGACACAGACACACATGAGCAGCCACAGCCTGCATGCGGCCAAGAGTGCAGCCGCACTGCATGTAGAAAAGTGTTTGCTGGTAAATCTGTGGAGGGGTGGGGTATGGGGAGAGGGAAGGGGTGAGGGGGTAGATCAAGGCCGCCATGGTGAGGGAGGATGTGGGGCAATGGCAGTGGCAGGTGCTGGGGTGAATGGAACCCCAAGGCTGGGGCAGGTCGTGGGACGAACCTGTGGGCATCTCATCCAGGGGCGAGGGGGGTAATGGTTCCCCACTACTGTGCACACCCCTGGGGAAGGCATGGGGGACATGTGCCTCCCAGATTTGTGCACAGGACTGAGGTGGGCTGCTCACTGGAGGCTGGGGCTCTGTGCCCTGCTGCCTTTGCCCCAGGAGCCACACAGTGCCATGTTGTGTCTCCCACTGCCAGGCAGGCAGGAGATGCGGTGCAGTCAATGTGCAGCTCCCAAGGCAAAGGTGGGCTGTGGCTCTGTGCCCTGCTACATCTGGCAGCGCACCCTCACCCCATGCACAAATTCAGGGGCACATGGCCCCCAGGCCTCCTCAGGGGTGTGTGCAGTGGAGGGAGTTGCCCCCCTGCACGCCTGTGGACAAGCCACCTGCAGCTCCATTGAACAACCTGCCCTGGCCCCAGGGCTCAATTCACGTCAGCACCCGCCCCTGCCCTACTCCCTCCCTCACTGTGGCAGCCTCATTCTGGCCCCCCCACCATTTCTCTCTCCCCCTGCCCCTCCCTTTCCACAGACTTACTAGCAGGACACTGTCTCTGTATGTCTGTCTGTGTGTCTATGTGTGTCTGTGTCTGTTTGTCTGTCTGTCTGTATTGCTATGTGTGTCTGTATGTCCGTCTGTGTGCGTGTCTGCCTCTCACTCCCAAGCCTCAGTGCCCCCAGCCCTACTGCTGCCCCTTACTCCTGACCCACAGTACCCTGCATCCTGCCAGGGTGTGCAGGGGCCCCCTCACCCGAGGCTGCAAACCCCCCACACACACCCACAGCCTCCCACACCTTCATAAATCCCCCCCAACCCTACAAAATACCTGCATAATTTGGATAATGTTGAGTTTTTCTGTGCATAATTTTGAGTTTTTAGTTGTGCGATTAAAATCACGATTAATTGTGATTAATATTTTTAATCAGGGTGACTAATATTTTTAATCATTTGACAGACCTATTTAATACCCATGCTACTCCTGTTGGAAGGCTGTTATGGAATCTTACTGCTCTGATGCTTAGAAGACTTCTTCTGGTTTCCAGTATTTATCACCAGCCTACACCAATTCACTACTGTATCAGTGTTGTCCTTAGGTTAAATCCTTCTTTCCTCTGTATTACTGTTTACTCTTAGGATATGTTTATAGAGACCAATCATGTCCACTCTCAACCTTTGTTCTCTTAGGTTAAACGAACAAAGTTCTTTTAATATCTTCTCACATAATAGACTCTTCATTCTTTTTATTCTGAGCATCTCTACACCTCTGCCAGTTTAAATTCATTTTTTTGGAATGTGGGAGAATAGAAT